GGCTCCCGGCTCAACAACCACACCGAGGAGCCGCCCGCCGAGGCCGAGGGCTGTGGCAGCCCCCCGCTGCCCCCCGGGCCGCCCTCGCCCCCCTTACCCGAGGGGCTGCCCCTGCCCTACGACAGCTTCGAGCTGCCCGAGGAGGAGGAGCTGCCCCCGCACCCCTTCCCCTTCCCCTACCAGCCCTCCCTGTCCCCCGAGGAGGCCGGCTCTGACGAGGACGCCATCGACCCCGACCTGATGGCGTACCTGAGCTCGCTGCACCACGAGTCGCTGGCGCCCGGGCTGGATACGCCCGACAAGCTGGTACGCAAGCGCCGCTCACAGATGCCCCAGGAGTGCCCTGTCTGCCACAAGGTCATCCACGGCGCCGGCAAGCTGCCCCGCCATATGCGCACGCACACAGGCGAGAAGCCCTTCGCCTGCCAGGTCTGCGGGGTCCGCTTCACACGGTGAGTGCTGCCGGACGGGCACCCAGCAGCATCCCCCTCGTGGCACCTCCCCTGCCGGAGCCTGGCTGCCTGCGTGGCACGGCGCAGTGCAGGTTGGTGGGTTCAGCTCCACACCATGAGTGCTGCCAGGGCAACCCTCTGTGTCTGCTGGGTACCCGGCAGCATCTCTTGCCACTGCATCCCCTGCACCTCATCCCCCGCCAGCCCTGCCGGTGCCTGGCCGCATCCCCACCGTGGCGCAGTCCCGGTCTGTGGGCTCTTCTGGGCAGCGTGAGCACTGCCAGAGCGACCCTCCCTGCCTGCCACTCTGGCAGCATCTCCCGCCACGCTGGCACCTGCCTGCATCCCTGCTGCGGTGCAGCACCGGGATGCATTTCACACCGGTGCCGCAGTGTTCCCCCTGCGCCCCCACCGGGATGTGGTCCCCTGCCCCGCCACGTCCCCCGTGCCCTGCGGCGCATCCCTGCCACACCATGGCACCGTCCCCCTGCCCGCCGCGGCCAGACAGTCACATCCCCAGGGGTGCTGGCCGACCCGTACCAACATCTTGCCTTGTCTGTGTGTCCATCCATCCCCCAGGAATGACAAGCTGAAGATCCACATGCGCAAGCACACGGGCGAGCGGCCCTACTCCTGCCAGCACTGCAGCGCCCGCTTCCTGCACAGCTACGACCTGAAGAACCACATGCACCTGCACACGGGAGCCCGGCCCTACGAGTGCTACCGCTGCCACAAGGCCTTCGCCAAGGACGACCACCTCCAGCGGCACCTCAAGGGCCAGAACTGCCTGGAGGTGCGGACCCGCCGCCGCCGCCGCGACGAGCCGCCCCCACCGCCTGCCGGCCCCCCCGGCCTCGACCTCTCCAACGGGCGCTTGGAGGGGCTGCGCCTCTCCATCGCCCGTTACTGGGGTCCCGTACAGCCCAAGGAGGAAGAGGAGGAAGCAGAGGGCGAGGAAGGGCCGCAGCCGGACGGCGCCGTGCCGGTAGAGACGGCGTAGAGCCACCGCCATGGCGGGTGGCGGTGCCGAGCCGTGCCCGCCGGGGTTTCTGTT